TTTAGCAATAAAGTAAAATAATTTACATGGCGTTTCTCAATGACACGCAAGTCATACAAAAAATAAAGACAACTCCTATGGCTCCTGCCGGTTGTCATACTCATCGACATGCAAGTCGTGATTCCTATTACAATAGCATGAACATCTCATACATCACATATATATCATTCATCATTCATCACAACTTTGGCCATATCACATCACAAAACACTTGCTGCAAAAACAAGTTAGACGTCCTCTAATTGTTGTTGCAAGTTTTACGTGGCTGCAATTGGGTTCTAGCAAGAATGTTTTCTTACCTACGTGAAAGCCACAACGTGATTTGTCAACTTCTATTTACCCTTCATAAGGACCCTTTTCATCGAATCCGCTCCAACTAAAGTGGGAGAGACAGACACCCGCCAGCCACCTTATGCAACTAGTGCATGTTAGTCGGTGGAACCGGTCTCAAGTAAGCGTACGTGTAAGGTTGGTCCGGGCCGCTTCATCCCACAATACCGCTGAAGCAAAATAAGACTAGTAGCGGCAAGAAAGTTGACAACATCAATGCCCACAACAAATTGTGTTCTACTCGTGCATAGAGAACTACGCATAGACCTAGCTCATGATGCCACTGTTGGGGAACGTTGCAGAAAACAAAAAAAATTCCTACGGTTTCACCAAGATCCATCTATGAGTTCATCTAGCAACGAGTGGTTGAATGCATCTACGTACCTTGTAGATCGTGAGCGGAAGCGTTCAAAGAACGGGGATGAGGGAGTCGTACTCGACGTGATCCAAATCACCGGAGATCCTAGCGCCGAACGGACGGCACCTCCGCGTTCAACACACGTACGGTCAGCGTAACGTCTCCTCGTTCTTGATCCAGCAAGGGGGAAGGAGAGGTTGAGGAATATGGCTCCAGCAGCAGCACGATGGCGTGTTGGTGATGGAGCCGCAGTACTCCGGCAGGGCTTCGCCAAGCTCTATGGAGAAGGAGGAGGTGTTGGAGAGGGAGAGGGAGGCACCAATGGCGTAGGTGAGAGGCCCTCCCTCCCCCCACTATATATAGGGGGCCTAGGGGGGGGCGGCCCTAGGAGATGCAATCTCCTGGGGGGGCAGCGGCCAAGGGGTGGGGGGCTTGCCCCCCAAGCAAGGGGGCGCCCCCTTTAGGGTTTCCCCCACCCTAGGCGCATGGGCCCTAGGGGAAGTGGCGCCCCAGCCCACTTTGGGCTGGATCCCTTCCCACTTCAGCCCATGGGGCCCTCCGGGATAGGTGGCCCCACCCGGTGGACCCCCGGACCCTTCCGGTGGTCCCGGTACAATACCGGTGACCCCGAAACTTGTCCCGATAGCCGAAATAGCACTTCCTATATATAATTCTTTACCTCCGGACCATTCCGGAACTCCTCGTGACGTCCAGGATCTCATCCGGGACTCCGAACAACATTCGGGTTACTGCATATACATATCCCTACAACCCTAGCGTCACCGAACCTTAAGTGTGTAGACCCTACGGGTTCGGGAGACATGTAGACATGACCGAGATCGCTCTCCGGTCAATAACCAACAGCGGGATCTGGATACCCATATTGGCTCCCACATGCTCCTCGATGATCTCATCGGATGAACCACGATGTCGAGGATTCAAGCAACCCCGTATATAATTCCCTTTGTCAATCGATATGTTACTTGCCCGAGATTCGATCGTCGGTATCCCAATACCTCGTTCAATCTCGTTACCGGCAAGTCACTTTACTCGTACCGTAATGCATGATCCCGTGACCAGACACTTGGTCACTTTGAGCTCATAATGATGATCATTACCGAGTGGGCCCAGTGATACCTCTCCGTCATACGGAGTGACAAATCCCAGTCTTGATCCGTGTCAATCCAACAGATACTTTCGGAAATACTCGTAGTATACCTTTATAGTCACCCAGTTACGTTGTGACGTTTGGTATACCCAAAGCACTCCTACAGTATCCGGGAGTTACACGATCTCATGGTCTAAGGAAAAGATACTTGACATTGGAAAACTCTAGCAAACGAACTATACGATCTTGTGCTATGTTTAGGATTGGGTCTTGTCCATCACATCATTCTCCTAATGATGTGATCTCATTATCAACGACATCCAATGTCCATAGTCAGGAAACCATGACTATCTGTTGATAACGAGCTAGTCAACTAGAGGCTTACTAGGGACATGTTGGTGTCTATTTATTCACACATGTATTACGATTTCCGGATAACACAATAATAGCATGAATAAAAGACAATTATCATGAACAAGGAAATATAATAATAATGCTTCTATTATTGCCTCTAGGGCATATTTCCAACACGAAGAGCATCTAGCTATGGAATAAATAAAGACCATATTAAAAACATTCACAATGCAGATAATCTGTCAATTTTGTACAAAGCCTCTGAGATATGAGTGTATTGCAACTTCACATTTCAAAAAATAGGTGCTGATAAAATGTTCACGTAAAAGATGTATCCAGTAATCGGTTTCGCTCCCTCTACAACCAAAGTATACCTACAATTTGATCAAATTATCGCCACAACAAAGAGGAAGGCATGAAATAGTAAATAATAATTAGAGAAAATAAAAATGGAAAATTAAGTACAATAAGGTAAGTTGAGTAGACCAACCTGGTCATATGGCATTGCCCAACATTAGAAATGAGTCGGTAAGTTGATCACCTACTAAAACAAAGTTCAATAAGTTCACATTTGATATCTATGACTAAATATGCCATGTCAAGTCTAAATTAAACTCTGGCCACAAATTAAAATTGACGTGTCATATACTATTGTGGCCTGCTTAGAAACAAAACTTTTGAGTTAGCAATTCTTCATGCTTTAAAAGCAGAGAAAGGGAAGGACAGATAAAACCAAAACCAAGCAGTTCATGCCGAATAGTAGAAGAGAGAATGTTTGTACGTAATAGCATATCATCAACACATCAATAAGCAGGTTTATTGCAATGTGTGTGTTTTTCATTTGGTATTTTGGCAGGTTTTTAGTCGGTTATTTTATTTTATTTTATTTTTCATTTTCTTCTGATTTTTTAAAATGTGGGGACTTTCCAAATGCATTTGTGAACATTTTTCAAACCAGGAACTTTTTCTCAGTTCTTTTGCTAACTCTCTAGTTGACTATTTACAAAGTTCATGAACTTTTTCAAAATCAGTGAAGTTTTTTCATTTTTTTCACCTTAAAGAATGCATGGAATTTCATCAAACCCATGCACATTTTATAAAAAAAAATCGATGATTTTTTTCCAATTCAAGCTTTTCAATTTGACGAACTTTTTTCTTTCAAAATTGATTAACCTATTTTGAAAATCGATAGCCATTTTTAAAATTCATTAACTCTTTTTTCAAAAGTGATGTCCTCTTTTCAAATTCGTGATCTTTTTTCAAAATTGATGAACATTTTTAAAAAATCCATGAAAATTTAAAACTTTGTCAACTATTTTTCCAAAAAACTATGGTTTTTTAATTCCTAAATTTTACTCAAATTCATGGTAATATCTTGAACTTTTTCTAGAATTCATGAAATATATTAGACTAGGAATTTAAATCAAATTCATCGATTTGTTTTCAAAATTTCAAAAAAATTCCCTGAATACTGGCCGTTCATGAATTTCCAAAAAAAAAGTGTATATGTTTTCCCCAGAACCAATAGCTAATGGGTTTTCTTTTCTGGACAGTGAGGAGCGACTGAGATTATTTTTTTCTGAGGGGAAGCAGGGAATGAGGTGGAGTGGACGAGCACAGATGAGTTACTATCCTAACTGTTTGGCCCAGGTGTTGTTCATGTGAGCTCCGGCTCCGAAAAATAATGCTTAAGGCGCTAATTAGGAGGGCTACTCCTATTCGGCGCGGGTAGATCATGTCCGGTTTTGCGAAGGTTATAGCACCTTCGCAAACCGTTTTCTTCTTCTTCTTCTTCTTCTTCTGTTTTTTCTCCTTTTTAACTTTTTTTGCTTTTTCGATTCTATTTTTTGTCTTAGTTTATTTGTTTTTCCATTTTTCTTCTTCTTCATTTCCCTTACTTCTATTTTTTTCATTTTTTCTCGTTTTCGTGATTTTCATAAAATCGTGAACATTTTTTAACTGATATAGAAAAACATTCATCTAATACAAAAAATGTTCATGAAATTCAAAAAGATTTCATCATAAAAATTTATTCGCCATAATTTTATATTTTTCATCAAACTGAATAAGTTTTGAAATCAAAAAATTTCACCATAAGTTTACTTTTTCTCTCATTGTATAAAAAATTCACTGAATTCAAAAAGTTCATCTGATTTCAGAGAAGTGTTCTCGAATTGAGAATTTGTCCATCAAGTTAAAAAAATGAAAAATGTTCATATAATTCATAAAATGTTCATCGAAATCAAAATTTGTTCACCGGAACTGTTTAAAAAATTCGTCAGATTCAAAAACTGTTAATCAATTTTCTAAAAGGTTCATCCGATTTCCAAAAAGGTTATTTGAATGGAGACTTTATTTATCAAGTTCAAAAAATGTTCATCAAATTCAAATTTGTTCATCTGCTTAAAAACATTCATCAATATACAAATTCATGAACATTTTTGAAATCACAATTTTTTTTGAAATCACGAACATTATTCCAATTCAAGGACATTTTTTGGAATAATGTCAAAAGCCGCGATGACTTGTGGTCGGGTTGAGTTGGACTGAACCTGAATCATCAATCATGGATATATCACTGACATACCCCTCCAACCATCGAACGTCCATAGCTAACCACCGACAGCATTCCAGCAATCTACTTCAGTACTACCACTGTGGAAACCACTAGCTAGGTAGTTGAGCACTGTGGAAACCACTAGCTAGGTAGTTGAGCACTCTACTTCAGTGGATTCTCATCTGGGCGCAGAACGCAACCCAGCACCTAGCCAACACGGAACAACAGAAACCTGGAAATTCTGTGAGCATTGGGGAGGAGGACGCCCACGGAGGGGAGAGTACGCATGATCCATGGAGCGTATCGGCGATAAGGCAATCAGCAGGGCCGAGATCACGGACGACGCGTCGGCCACGTTCGCAGACTCCACTGTGATCCCCGACAGGTATGCCCGGCCAGATGAGGTCAGGGACGGGGTAGTCGTGGGCGGCGACGAGAGCTACGAGCTACCAGTTGTAGACATGGCGAGGCTGCTAAACCCGGAGTTCTCGGAAGCCGAGATTGCCAAGCTTGGCTCTGCGTGTCGAGACTGGGGCTTCTTCCAGGTTCTTATCTTTGCTCGCATTCGCATATATCTACCACTATTTGGAGGGAGGGCATTTCACTCGTGCCTTTGATATTCGTGTACTAGTTCTTAATGGTGAGTGCGAGATCTTGCTGGTTAGGACATATTAATTTCTGTAATTTCTAGAGAGTGGTCCTGAGTGTAGACCATGGTTCTAGACAACATTTTTGGATGCATGTGGTACAAACTTTCGCTTGAGTTGGGTTGAAATCCAGCCAAAATTTTAGGAAACCTGATGAAAGTTTTCATATTTTTTATTCTGATCCAAGTCATGAGGTGGTGAATATTTCTTTTTCTTTTTTACAAAAAGTAAATTTTTTTTGGCATACCTACTGTCTTACTGAAATGACTGGAAACATGGAAAAAAATTTGTTGGACTGAAATCCAACCAGAATTCTAGGAAACCTGACGTAAGTTTTGGTACTCTTTATTCAGCTCCAAGTTCTGTGCTAGAGAATTACGTTGACAAGAAATTCAAATATTTTTGTATATCTAACTATCCTACTAAAATGACTGATTTTTTTTCGAAGTTCAGGTGAAATTTCACTGAAAATGAGAACCATGCCCAGACACCATGTGAACTGGCTACACTCTAATTTGTTGATCTATCTACTGGACTATCCATCTATCAAATTTACATCCTCTGTTTGTCGCAAAATAAAATAAAATTACATCCTCTGTATTCGCAGTTAACAAACCACGGAGTTGACGAAGCAGTTGTAGAAGACATGAAAGATAGCACTCTGCAATTCTTTCGCTTGCCGCTGGAGAAGAAGAAGGCAGTGGCCATCCAAGCCAATGGCTTCGAAGGGTTTGGACACCACTACAACAGAGCATCGTCTGAAAAGTTGGACTGGGCGGAGAGTCTAATCCTCGTGACGCAGCCACACGAGCAAAGGAACAATGAGTTTTGGCCTGCCGATCCGTCAACATTTAGGTCCTAATTCTCTTCATCTCTTGCTTAAATTATTTACATGCTGCATTGCTCCGTTTGCCTCGTCTTAAATTACATAAACACATATCATTCAGGGATGCACTTGACAAGTACTCAATGGAGATGTCAAATCTCACAAGCCGCCTTACGGTGTTCATGGCGAGCGACCTCGGAGTCGAGCAGGAGACGCTCATGGGAACCTTCCAGGGCAAGACGCAGAGTGTTGCCTTCCACTACTACCCTCCATGCCACCACCCGGACAAGGTGATCGGCATCACGCCACACCACGACGGCCTCGGCCTGACGCTGCTGCTGCACGTGGACGACACCCCCGGCCTGCAGGTGAGGAAAAACGGCAGATGGTACCCGCTGAACCCGCTGCCAGGCGCCTTCGTTATCAACGTCGGCGACATTCTCCAGATCCTGACCAATGGCACGTACAAGAGCGCCGAGCACAGGGTGCTGCCGGACGTAGAGAAAGGGCGGGCCACCGTGGTGATGTTTCAGAATGCTTGTGTTGCCGGAATTGTGAAGCCGCTCCCGGAGCTAGGCGAGGCGACGTACAAGGCCATCGACCATGTTGAGTATGTCAAGGGGAACTTCAGGGCGCTGGCTGAAGGGACAAGGTTCGTGGATGGTCTCAAGATCATGTAACCAAACCTAGGTCGAGAAGAGAATCTAAAGAAGTTACTTTCTTAATCTTTGTGTCGTGTATGTATCCGGTGGCAATTATAAACTCGACGGGACTGATTTTTCCAGATCAATTTGCTAGGATTTATTATTAATGAAAATTGGTATGTTTACAGGGATAACAATGGGATAATGAGGATATCCCAGCCATATATGACGACCCTGACCTAAAGATAAATAATGCCTAGCTAGATTGTGAGTTTTAAATTTTGAGCTGCTAAACTCATGAGCAAAATTACAAGAGATAAATGTATTCATACAGATTCTAATCTCCTTGATAACTCCTCCATAAATAGCCCCTTCAGGCATTCAAGCCCGGCAGGTGACGCCGTTTACTTCCTTCGTAGTCGAGCCGACACGTGGTCTGCCCTTCAAAAGTTAACGAAGACCCTTCACTCGACCCCATGAGTTGGCTGGAGGCCCAGGGCCTATGCCCATCGGGTGCACAATCGTGCCCCCAATATATCTATAAAAGAAGAAAAATCACAACACTTTGTGCTTCGGCCGAATCACCATTTCTGAAGCCGGTTTCTATGAACCGGAATGTCTCCAATAATAACAAAGATAGGGAGGTCGGACACTTTGTCCTCGACTTCCTCCTCGGGGCGATGAGCCTGGTGAATCATGTCACCTTCAACCTATTCAAGGAGGTCATACGCTCGGCGAGCCCGAAGATCACTGAAGCCGACCTATGAAGACATGCCACGTTTTTTTAAGACAACAGGATCCCGTCTAGGTTCTTATTCCCGAAGGAAGAAGGATTCCAACTCCATACATGCGGGGGGCTAGTGACGGTGCACCACACCTGGGTTGGCCTTCCTACAGGGAAGCCCAACACTAGGCCGGCCTCAGGGCCCCACATTGACCGAGGTCCCTTGCCTTGACAGTGGGCCTCCTCCAGAAGAAGGCCTCTTTCTTGTACTGCGAGACGTGTAGTACTATATCAACATGGGCGACAAGCCATGGAAACTGACTTGGGCTCATGTAACTCTAGCCCTCATCCACCTAAATAATGGGAGGTAGGGGCTTCCAACTTGGCATCCAACATATGGTTTAGGCAAATCAATGTTATGACATGTACTTCAAAAAAAAGTTATGACATGTAGGCTATAGACCATCACCTCACCATGAGGACCTTGTTTCATATGCATCTTAATATGCTCCTCTATGTGTGCTCCACCCCATGACCGACCCTATTCAGGGATCTACCAGTTTTCTGCATCGTCACTTTTCGTATCCTCTTTCATCTGATATGCTGATCAAACACTAAATACTCCAGTTTTTTCAAAGTTCCGTGACCAGTAACCATCAATGTTTGTCAACACAAAATCTGTATTTGTGATATCGTTGCTGCATAAATTGGTACAAAATTTTCCTCAATTAACTCTCTATTCAATCGAGCATTTAAATCATCAATCAACTCAGACACCAATTTGGGTGGATCTGCAACTCGAGAAACATCGTCGTCCTTCTGGCGCTGGGTGACAGGGTACGTACAACATCAACATTTTTGTTCCTTACATGCTTGTTTCTTTCTCAAACCTAGCTAGGCTAGCCATATATTTATGCCTGACATGCATCCATGCATGCATGATGTGTCCATGTGTAGACCGTGGCTCTTCTTTCCTTGTCGGTGGCCTTCGCCTTTGCCTTTGTCAGGGTCCTCTTTGTCAAGGACATTGAGTTCTGCAGACCTACCCCAAGCTGGCCTGCGGTGGATTCCAGCGTAGCGTCATCCTGGACTTCGTGGCATGGTTCCTGCAGGCCACATCCGCCTTCTCCAACCTTTTCCTGATGGTCAAGGTAGCCACGGAACACCCTGATCAATAGCTAACTAGTGATGGCGGCTACGTACGTATACACCTAGGCCGGGGTGATCCTCCTTTTCAAAGAAAATAACGTATGTATACACATGTGCATGCACGTGGACTACCTGTTGAAAAAGCTCGTTCTTCGATCGATCTTCCTACTGCTCAGCTTGGGTGCCAAGGAGGAGAGGAGGGAGGGGGACAAGAGACGAAGACAGTGACAGTGAGTGGAATCGGGCCAGTAGGCAGCAGGGGAGTGTGGGGGGCGGGCATATGTCCCCCATACCCTCCCACCAAAAATTTAATTGCAGATAACAAAGCAACACAGATGAACGATAATAGATCTGACTGAGACTAGCTTCATTTTCAGATATACCTAACCAATAGCTGACACGAAAAAAAGATGGAATTGCTATTTTTCAGCCGGATGAAAACAATTGGCTTTCATCCGTTTTGTGAGCCATGCGATCTCTGTGCTGAGATTCGTGCAGAATTGGCGAGTTTTCTTATCGGGCCAGCTAACTACCGGGAGACCCGTTATGTTTTTCCTCGCTCTCGGCCCCATTGGCAGTTTCTTTTTTTTTATCCTTTCTCCTATCTCTTCCCATCCTCGTCCTTTCTGGTTCTCATTTCGTATAGGTAACCATGGCAATTTGGAGCTCCCCTCGCTGCTCGCTCGAATAGGTGGTATTCGGGCGTCCGGAAATCTCCCTCCAGCTGCCCCGCTGTATCTCCCACCTTGGGTCTGCAGCATCTCACTCCAACCCCGCACCCTCCCCGGCCCCCGTCTCCCCCGCCCGCCGCTTCTATTCATCTATTTTTGTGTATCCTTCGACGATTTCTTATGCTTCTCAAATCCGTGTGTTAGTTGTGTGTAGCGTTTTCGTGGCCAAATTTGTTCTTTATCCCCCTATGTTAGCTTCGTGTGTTGATCCCCTCACAGCTATTCGTGTAGATGTATTCAATTGTGTTGTTTGTGGGATTGAAATTCGTCTGCTATCTGTGTTGGTTCCCCTGCTGGAGTGATTTGATCTATTATTCGGGTTAGTTGGTGGGAGTTGTTTGATTGGGCTGTCTCGTTTAGTTGTAGTACTTTGTGCAAATGCACAATCGAAGATGCTGGGTCGTGTTCAGTCCCCTGGTCTTTTGGATTCTCATTTTTTTGGGTGGATGTAGATTCTATTCCCCGGGTTGTTTTAGTTTTCTGTTGTTGCTCTGAATTCATGTTAGTATAGAGTTGCAGGTAGTGTCCGTGTTGTGTCTGAATATTCAGTAAACAAACATAGCATGGAGTTACGGTCCTATTTTCAGACATTTTTATTACAGTCCCGATTCGGTGTATTCCTGTTATTTTTGTATATTTTTAGTGGTGTTTTTTTGCGGGTAAAAGAAATTTAGTGTATATTTTAGTGGTGTTATTTAGTTGAATTTGCTATGTTGTTTCAATATATGAGTTGGGTTATTTGCAGTGTATATTTTCAGTGTAAACCTCACTGTAGTCATTACTTACAGTGTTTTTACACTGTTAGTAAGTGGTATTTATGTGTGTGTTTTTAGTCTACTATCAGTGCTTTTTTTTCTTTTATTTCCAGCATGATCTTGTGTCAATGTTATAGTACTCCAGAGTGTATTTTTTTTCCTATCATTGAAATTGCTCTTTGTATCACAATATAATTTTAGTGTTTATTTACTGTAACTTGATAGTGAACTTGCAGCGTAAATCTTAGTGTAATTTTTGTATTATCAATAGTGGAATTACAATGTAAAATGACAGTGGAATTTAGTGTTATTTACTATATTTTTCCAGTGAAATTACAGTGCAAATCATCGCATAATTTTAGTGTTGTTTACTATCTTCAAAGTGAAATTACAGTGCAAATCTGCGTGGACTTTTAGGTTAATTACTCTATCTTGTTTGTGAATTTTACACTTTAATTCATAAGGGATTATTTTAGTGTAATTACTCCATCTTATCATTGGGCTTACTCTGTAATTTGTAGAGGATTTCTTATTCTAATTAATATATCTTTTTAGTGCAATTACACTATAGTGTATTTTTTACTCTATCTCTGTGATTTTGATTTACACTGTAAATCATAGGTGAATTTTAGTGTGGTATCACCGTCATTTTTTTAGTGTAATTCCTTTATCATGTCTTTTGAATTTATATTGTAATTCATAGGGAATATTTTAGTGCACTTTACTACCTTATCAGTGATTTTACACTGTAAATCTTTAGTGGACTTGGACTGTAATTACCTATCTTATCACTAATTGTACATTGTAAATCATAGTGTAATTTTAGTGCGATGTTCACTGTAATTATAGTGTGTGTTTTTGGTCTTCTTCTGTTATGCTAGAGCTATGCTTACTGTTTTTGTTAATTTTGTTTTGCTTATCGGTATTCTGTTGTTGTCATGCTTTTTGTGCTAATCTGAGTTTTTGGTATTTTGCAAGGCGTGTGGAAAGTTGCCTGATAATTTTTGTTAGTTCTATTTTCTCCTTTATGTGTAATTTCTTTTATTAGGCTACATGTTATCTATGTTGGGTAACAAACTATCCCTTTACATTCTATATTTTTCTGGTCTGTGGGTGTCGGTGTTTTACAGTGATATGTCCTTCAGTTTGTGGGTGTTTATGTTGTTAGGAAGAGGGAGTTGCATGTCAGTTGGAATCTTAGGGACATTTACCTTAGAATTACTTGTAAATTACACTGTAAATCTATTTGTAAATTACATTCTAATTCACTTACAGTACTACTATATTTACTCTCTAAATCTACTGTAAAATGTCACTAGGATTCAGCTGTAATTATATTGTATTTACAGTGTAATTCTAGTGTAAATTAAATTGTATGTACTGCAATTACTGTGAAACTCACTGCCATTTGCTCTATAATACTACTATATTTTACAATATAAGTTCTACTATAAAATACATTGTATTTACATTGTAGTTCCAGTGGTCTAGCACTATAATTATAGTTTGCTTACGGTAATTCGAGTGGTCTAGCGATGTAATTCAAACTGTAATTTCAAAGGATTTTTTCACCCTGGTTCACTATTGTAATTTTTATTGCTTACCACTGAAATTTTAGTGGTCTAGTATTGTAATTACCATTTGCATGCCACCGTAAATTCCTTGTCCTCTAGTGTA